ATGGGGCGAGCAGCCCCACTTCACTTCGCATTTACCTCTCCTCGGACCCCATCCATCCAAAGATGCACGAAGACCCAACAATAGACCTTTAGGTTTTCCAGTTGTTTCTAAATATCTTAATGTAATGCATTGGAACTAATTTCATTCCATATTTAAGTTTAAATTGTAAATCACTAAATTCTTTTAAAATCCTCTCGCTCGGGCACAGGTATGGATAGATAACTGATGTGGGCAGAATCAGAATTATTCAGAAGGCTGTAAATGGATGCTTACCTAGTTTACTCTCTGCTGGGTCATAGAATACAGAATGTCATAATTGGAAAAAGTTAGCCTTCCCAGGTTTTCTGCATATAAACACTCCATCAACATTTTGTTATTAGAGGATAATTCAAGATTAGCTATATGTTGATTGATAATGACTAACCATGACAGGAAGGAGAGGGAAATCCATCTACACTTCAGTGAGGTTCTGATTTGTGCTTCACAAAGTGTTATGAAAGCTCTCCATGAAAATCTAGCAGCTGCATTTCTAAAAAGTCCTTGTGTGGTAACATTTTCTTTCTTTCTTTCTTTCTTTCTTCCTTCCTTCCTTCCTTCCTTTCTTTCTTTCTTTCTTTCTTTCTTTCTTTCTTTCTTTCTTTCTTTCTTTCTTTCTTTCTTTCTTTCTTTCTTTCTTTCTTTCTTTCTTTCTTTCTTTCTTTCTTTCTTTCTCTCTCTCTCTCTCTCTCTCTCTCTCTTTCTTTCTTTCTTTCTTTCCTTCTTTCTTTTTTTTTTTGAGTCCGGTTGTGGGGCCTGAACTCTGGGCCTGGGCGCTGTCCCTCAGCTCTGCAGCTCACGGCTAGCACTTTACCACTTGAGCCACAGTGGCACTTCTGGCTTTTTTTTTTTTTTGCTTATGTGGTGCTGAGGAATCGAACCCAGGGCCTCATGCATTGCAAGGCAAGCACTCTAGCACTGAGCCACCTTCCCAGCCCCTGTGGTTACCTTTTCTGATAATGTCTCAATTCAAGTATTTCTCCTTGGAGTTCCATACTATTCAATGATGCTGTATTAGCTCCGTGTTAAAATTTGCAGACCGGTCTTGGTGATGAAATTTGTGCTTTTCAAAATTGCTCTCCTAATTCCATCCACAAACTGCAAACAACATTTATCTGAAAAAATTTGTATCTGTTGATAGTGCATATATTTTTATGTTTCATTACAAACCTAGAATGTAGTAAAAATTTTCATAGCAATTACTTCTAAAGTAAATATTATACTGTGTTTATGTAGAGAATTTGAGTATCCAAAGTTTTCATATACCTTTGGTCCTAAAACGAATACCTTACTGATATTGAGTGATAAATACAACTTCCTATAAGTACAGAAGTTTTCCTTGTATCTTTTTAATATATATTTTTTATTGTAAATATACTGTACAGAGGAGTTACAGTTACCTAAGTAAGGTAATGAGTATATTTCTTATTGAGCATTGTTACCCCCTCATTTGTTTTTCCTCTACCATACCATTCCTTCACCCCTCCCCAACTTCCCCATTCACCCCCCACCCCTTGATAGACTGTCTTGTACATCTCATTGTTAGAATGGGTCAACCTGTATCCTTTCCTTATATCTTAAATGAAGAAGTGCTAGCTTGATTTATGCTGATTCTACTTGTGTAGACACACCTAAAATCACTCATGAAGGCCAAGAGCACATAAATGAAACACCATCATTTTTTGTTACTTGGTATAATTGTGTTCTACACATTTATTGACAGGTTACAAATTATTCTCAAACTTTAAAACATTAAAAATATTTTCTTTTTTTCTTATTTTCTTGGCCAGGAAATCAGCAAGACCTTAGTCAGCATTTCTCACATAAGACTTTTCACATGAGTTGGTTAAATGTATGTGTAGAATCCAGTCCTTGGAAAAAGCTCAAGTAAGGATGCCATTTAAAGCCTTATAACTTTATTCTTTACCAGGGCATTCTCCTGCTACTTTGATTGTTGGAGTTTCTACAAGAGCAAGCATTCTGTGGGGAGCAAGGAAACACCATATGAACTTTACTTACTGAGTTTTCTGAGTGATTTGCTATCCCTTGTACTGCATTTTGCAAGTGGAATCTCTCTAAATGTACAAGTTTTAAGAGATAAGAGAGTGGTAAAAAAATGCTTAGAGACAAATACATCTTGAACATACTTTGTTCCCAGCATTCCATTTGAGGCATATTCAACAACTAGTGAAATTTGTGTTGGCTGTATCTATGTGTCTTTCTCCATGTGTGCATGTATACATGTGTACATGTACGTGTGTATTTGTGTGTACAGTAACATACATGTGTACATATATAAGGGCATATACACATATGTGCGCATATATAAATAAATATACATATACAAAAATATGTGCATATATATATCAGTTGTTCAGTGATTTAATCTATAGTTCACAGCACATTGTCTTTCTCACGAAGTGTACAAGATAAATTGCTCCTAGGATCTGTGTTCTATGATGGGCATCCTTTGTACACACTTCCCACATTCCTTTGTTTTTCATCCCTGTGAGCAACTTCGGTCCACTTTCCATAGGCTAGCTTTGTTTTCATTATATGTAGTTACTAACTGATAATAAAAGAAAAAGGTTGTTTGTAAAAGAAAAAGAACTTTTAGGTCACAGGTTAACAGTATCTTATCCATCCCAATGATTCCTATGAGATAAAATTTATAATAGTAAAAGTGAAAAGGAATTCCTAAATCTGCTGTTTTGCCATTTATTATGGCAAAGAATAATATCAAGTCACTCTTATAACTCTTAAAGAATGCAAGGGTAACTGATGGTCGCTATCATGTTCCCACAAAACTAGTGGATCCTGAAGGATAATAGTAGACCAGCCGAAATTCTAAGTACCAGACATGGAGCATGAAAGAGAAAGAAAGGAAATGGGAGAGAGTGAAAGAGAGAGAGAAATATCACAATACTAGAAGTGCATAACAGACAAACAAGAGGTGTATGAGAATATTCATACTGCTATCTTTAGACTCTATGTGTACATTTGAAGGTATTTGATATATGATAACAAATCAACATGAAATATAAAGTTATTTTGATAAAAATAAAAATAACTCAGAAGAAATTATAAATGCAAAAACAATCTTCACTGAAGCAAACTCTCAGAGATATTTATGACTTTGAAAAGGATAAAGTGGCTGAAGTTAGTATAAATTTAGAAGTACAATTCACAAAAATATAAAAATATATTTATATCTCTCATTATATTACCCAAAGCAGAAAGCAAATGTTGTTTAGATGATTTTTTAAAACACAGTTTCTGGGAAGGTGGCTCAGTGGTAGCGTGCTTGTCTTGCATGCATCAGCCCCAGGGTTTGATTCCTCAGCACCATATAAGCAAAAAAAGATGGAAGTGGTGCAGTGGTTCAAGTGGTAGCGCTAGCCTTGAGCTGAGGGACAACACCCAGGCCCCAGAGTTCATGCCCCATGACCAACAAAATCAAAATAAAGAACAAACCACAGTCTATCACTGTTTTGGCCTTAACTCTGTAATACCGCTGCTTCAGCCTAGGGATAAAATTTTAGGTGTGGACATTTATCAAAACTTCTGACTCAGACTCTATTTGATAATTTTTTAAATAAATATTTTGATCTTAATTTTCCTCTTTGTAAATTAACATGCACCTATAAAAATTGGTTTGACCATCCAAGTAACCTTCTCAAAGTACCTCCTAATGATGATTTACAAAAAGTTGTACTTGGGCTGGGAAGGTGGCTCAGCGGTAGAGCACTTGCCTTGCATGCATAAGGGACTGGGTTAGATTCCTCAGCACCACATAAGGAAAAAGAAAAAAGCCGGAAGTGGTGCTGTGGCTCAAATGGTAGAGCGCTAGCCTTGAGCTGAAGAGCTGAGGGACAGCGCCCAGGCCCCACGACCGGACCCCCCCAAAAAAGTTGTACTATATTTCAACAAGTAAAACAATGCTACAAATAAAGAAAACAATAATTAAATGTTAATAATTAATAAAATAAAAAACAAAAATATTATCACTGTTTTCACTATTTGAAGTGTACTACATAGTAGATTTTACTATTTTCTCATAATCCTGTACATTTAACACTGACTGAGGTTGTGATGTTCAACAAGAGTTTTATAGAATATGAGTAGTCTTTAAAGCTATCCACTAAGATTACTATTTATGGCTCTTCTCATTATTTGTTTATGGCTTATATCATCATTTTTCCTCGTTAACTTATAAACTGAGGAAGCCCTAAAGTTTTAACAGCCTGTGTAGTTAACAAAGTGTTAACACTTCATTCTGCTTCTTTACACAAAAACTTTGCAACTTCTCATTAATAAAGTTTCTCGAAACTCTGAAATGTACATACTTAGTAGTATATGTCTGCTACCATAAATCTTAAATACTTTATGGAAAAGTTTTATACCTGCCAAACAGTCCTAATTTTGGCATATGTAAACAAATTCCCAAAATTAAATATATTTAAAACATTAAAACTTTTAACAAACCTTAACACTTGGTGCAGTGTTCATTATGACAGGTGCCTTGTATAGAATAATTGAATCCCCCTCCTACACATTTCTTGAGCAACAAATATCTGGAATTATTTTGTTTTTGACATGTCAATCTTGACTTTATTCTTAAATTTGTGCTTATGTAAGAAATATATGGTTCTAAAATTTCATGACAATTCTTTTGAACTTACTTTTTGTTGAATTGTCTAGTTTAATAAAATCCAACTGCACTTTTTTTGGGGGGGGGTCCATTCGTGGGGCCTGAACTCTGGGCCTGGGCGCTGTCCCTCAGCTCTTCAACTCAAGGCTAGCATTCTACCACTTGAGCCACAGCGCCACTTGCAGCTTTTTTCTTTTTGCTTATGTGGTGCTGAGGAATCGAACCCAGGGCCTCATGCATGCAAGGCAAGCGCTCTACCACTGAGCTACCTTCTCAGCCCCCACAATTGCACTTTTGATATAAAAAATATTCTGTGCTCAATTCAGCTACACATACACTAACATTGAAACAATACAGAGAAGAGTACCATGGCACTTGTGCAAGGACGATATGCAAATTCGTGGTGTGTTCCATATTTTTACAACAACAGATGCTGGAGGGGATGTGGCCACAAGGGAACCATACAACATTCTTGGTGGGAGTGTAAACTTGTTCAACCACTTTGGAAAGCATTATGGAGGTTCCTCAAAAGATTCCACATAAAGCTCCCCTTTGACCCAGCAGTCCCACTTTTGGGGATTTACTAAATGATCACAAACAAGACCATACTAAAACTACCAGCACAACTATGTTTATTGCAGCATTATTTACCATAGCTAAGATATGGAACCAACCAGCTGTCCCCACTACATGAATGGATCAAGAAAATGTGATGTATATACACAAGGGAATTCTATGCCTCCATCAGAAAGAATGACATTGCCCCATTTGTTAGGAAATGGAAAGACTTGGAAAAAAATTTATTAAGTGAAGTAAGCCAAGCCCAAAGAAACAGGTCCCATGGTTTCCCTTATTTTCAATAACGAATATATGTCTGGGGTAAGCAGACAAGGTCAAAAGCTATGTGCATATGAACAGAAATGATAATGTTAAGGGAATTGAACCCCACGATAGGGAAACAAGTATTTTTTTGTTTCTTGCTATTGTTACTAACATACTTATAATGTGCGATGTGAATTTTCGTTTCTTTGTATATTCCTTCCCCACGCTATAACCCTTGTTTTCTCTGTATTTGAAGTTGGTGCATCTGCCTCTTGTATGTACGCTTCTCTAATTTGGGGAGGGGAAGGGAAAAAATGTGTGCACGTGAACACATGTGCATGCATGTGTGTTGGCATGCTCAGAGTTTGAAATCAGGGCTTAAAGGTCTTACTAGGCCTTTCTTCTCTAGGTTGGTGAGGTACTATATGAGCTACATTTTCTTTCCTGGGTCTTTGCTAGTTCATAAAAATTTTGAAAAATAATTTCATGAATTTTTTTTTTTGGCCCTGATTGACTTCCAATGGTTATCCACAGATCCCAGTCTCCTGAGTAGCTATCCCGAGTAGATAGGATTACAGGTGTGACTAGCCAATACAAGGCTTTCAGCATAATTTTAAAAGTAGAAGAAAATTTACTTCATGGGGGCCTGTTTAATTATCTCCTACTTTTAAAACATTTTGGATTGATTAAATGTGAATGTATTTCATTTTTGGATTCTTAAAAGATAGTAAGTGATGATATTTAAAAGTTTTGGTACTTTTTAAAAAAGGAAACTGGAACTGTGGGACAGAAGAAATTTGTCTCTCTTTGGACGTCAATTTAGAAGCTCAGCTCTGTGCATGATAACCCAATGTCACCAACACAGTCTGTGTTGAAGACAAAATGTGATAGAAAACAATCACCATGGGCAATATTTGCTATGCTATAATTTCTTGGACAATATGAATATTGAATTGAGAGTGTAAGAGAATGGGAAGAATTTACCTACCTTTTGTGTATTGCTGAAAGACTTTTGGAAACTTTGACTCATTTCCTTCCTCACTGTGTGTCTTTGGGCCATGCACTTAGTGCCTTTAATTACAATTTTTCCCAACACTAAAATAGTAATAACATTAGCATTATAGCAAATGTTATCTTAAGAATTAAGAGAAATAAAACTTGTAAAATACTTAACATAAACTTCTATGCATGAGCTTTGAGTTTAGCCAGAAGTTTTTTTAAATACTAAATAGAATGTCATAAGTATTACAGAAACCATTACATGTAGTGAGCAATACTATCTATTAATCATGCTCTACTTCCAAGGAAGCCGGGTAGATAACTTCTCATGCTGTAAATCAAACTGGTTATCTTAAGTCTTGTTAGTGTAAAAATATAAGGGACATAATAATGAAGGAATGTTGTAGACTGAGATGAAGTCCAAAAGAAAATGTACAAAACTGATAAAACAAAAGTATCTGAGCAGTATATTGTGTTTTACATCATTTAAGTTACATCTCAAAGATAAGGCAGACCTAGAAGAATGAATTGTCTTTTTGATATTCTATCATAGGTCTTTTCTCATTCATGTAGAGGCATCATCAGATTTGAGGAACTAAGTTTTTGGTTTGCTTCCTTCCATTTAAGTTACATCATTTAAGTTACACCACAAAGATAAAGAAGACCTAGAAGAATGAATTGTCTTTTTGATATTCTGTCATAGGTCTTTCCTCATTCTTGTAGAGGCATCATCAGATGAGAGGAACTGTATTTTTTTTTGTTTGTTCCTTCCATTTATTCTTCAGTTTGAAATCTGAACTACATGAGACAGAAAGAAACCAAGGGAAATTAGTCACACAAGTTTTGGAAAGAAAAATCAACGTAAAATAAAATACATAGCCTTGTATAAGGTCTAACTAAATTGAGTTATATAGTCTCAAGCATTAACAGAAAATGATTTAAGCAATATCATGTTATTGAAAACTGAAAAATGTTAGGAGTTGCTTTATTTTTTCCTTTCTACTACCTTGAAATTATTGATTTTGTACAGAGAGATTAAAGATGAGATTAACAAGAAACGATTAAAAATTGTCAAAATTTCTGAATAGATATGTTTACCAAAAAGTTCTGAAAATCGCCAGTGAGTTTACAAAGTTGTGTTTAATACAACTTCTATGCTGGCTTAATGTTTTGTAAACAAAAGTCATTAGAGAAATGCAATTCAAAATTACTATGATACTACTTCATAACTATTATAACTCTTATCAAAAAAATCAAAGGAACCAGGTGTGGTGGTAAAGACTTGTAATTCGAAGCTTTTAGGAGGTTGGAGTAAAAGGATTTGGGTCTGAGGTCATCTTGGGTATTGCACACAGTAAAAACATGCCCTTTAAAAAAACTCAAAAGGTAATAAGGTTGGCTGGTGAGAGTGTGGAGAAAAGGAAATTTTCTACACTCTTGGTCAAAATACAGGTTAATACTCTCCTTGTAGAAAGTAGTATGCAGTTTTCTAAAGAAATCCAAAGTTGAAATATCACCTGACCCACCAATCATGTGATTATTTCTCTCTGGGTAACTCATAAATATATCTGTAGTTCATTGTTATTCACATTATTCACAACAACAGCCAAGATATAAATCGAAATTCAGTGTTCAACTACAGACTAATAAACAACTGTGGTTCATGCACAAATATATTTTTCTGTTTCATCCTTAAAATAGCAAGAGACTTCTCCCATTAGCCACAACTTATAATGACCTGAAAGATGTATTGTAAATGAGGAAAAATGTTGTCTTCTGATTTTTGTAAACACACACACACACACACACACACACACACACCAACCTCAAACATTAAGAGTGAAATTTTTTGAAAAGTAAAGCAAAGTGGAATTGCTGCGGCATTTAGGTCACAATGTAGAAGATAGTAGATATACAGGATGAACCGGTATAGAGTTGTAATGTACAGCATGAGGATACAGGGGACAACACTGGCCTTACATAGGAATGAAGCTAAATAAGTAGGAGTTGTTCTTCCTAGTAGGGGTTGCTCTTTTGGATGCTCTTCCTCCAGTAATGGATAAGATGAGCATAATTCTTTAAATATACCTGCCTGTTTGCAGAAATAATAACAAACAATATAGCAATAATGTTGTATGCTCAACATAGGACATGAGATTATCCTTGGTGTAAACTAATTATTACAAATAAGGGAAACCGTGGGACCTATGTTTCTTTAAGTCTGGCTTACTTCACTTAATATAATTTTTTCCAAGAACTTCCATTTCCTTACAAATGAGGTGGTATCGTTCTTTCTGATGAAAGCATAGTATTCTGTGTGTGTGTGTGTGTGTGTGTGTGTGTGTGTGTGTGTGTGTGTGTGTGTGTGTGTCATTTTCTTATCCATTCATCTATTGAGGGGCATCTGGATGGATTCCATATCTTAGCTATGGTAAATAATACTGTGATAAACATAATTTTGCTGGTAGCTTTAGTGTGGCCTTGCTTGTGGCCACCTGGTTAAATGCCCAGCAGTGGGATTACTGAGTAATAGGGGAGCATTATTGTGTACATCAAGGATAATCTTAGTAGATGAGCAGAATAGCCCTATAGCTATGTACATATGATCGTATAAGGTGATTCTAAGTGAAATGAACTCCAAGACATGTTCTTTGTTGTTGTTGTTTTTAATGTATTGTGTGATTTCTTTTTATCCTTTTGTGTTTTCCCCAACTATGGTGTATCCCCTGTAGTCACAGTATTTGATTTTGATACCCTGGTTATTGTAAATATGTTAATCTGAACTAGGGAAGGGAAAGGGAAAAATGGTGAGGCAAAGGATAAAGCGGGAACCTATGCAACAGTGATACACAGAAGACAATATGTTGGAAATAATCTGGAGGGGCTGTTGGGAGGGAAGAGGGAGAAAAATGGGGGAAGGGATAACAAATTAGAAAAGAAATGAATTCATTACCTTACTTATGTAAGTATAACCCCTCTGTACATTACCTTGACAGTAAAATTTAAATAAAAAGTAAAGTAAAGAAGCTATGGGAAGGGGAAACAAAGGAGGAGACAACAATGCTTAATAAGAAATGTATTCATTATTTTGCCCATGTAATTGTAACCCCTCTGTATGGTATTTTCACAATAAAAATACAATAAAATACATGAGAGCAGCAATACAGGATATGGGACTGGGGAAAATACTATACAAAGAGTAGAACAGCTGTGGAGAACAGTAATTTTACTTTAACATAGGAAGTAATTAACTAGCATACAGATTTTCAGCCTCATGTCAGTCACTAAAAAGGGAAAACAAAATACAAACCAGTAGAGATAAAATAGAAAACTAAACAATAAGGATGAAGAGATGGCTTGGACCAAAAATTACAAATGAGACAATTAGGAAACAAAAAGCTGGTAAGTTTAAAAAATATTACCCATAATTCTATTAATTGTTGTTTACATCACAATTTGTTAGAACTATAATTCAAATCACAGTTTAGTACTATATCATTTTAATAATAGGTTACTTATTATTGATTTCTTAATGTTTTATGTTTAATGTATAATTTTACTTTTAGCAGCTATAGAAAAGAAGAAAGTGAATCTAATTT